GCCTCCAAAACTGAAACAAACAAATTTCAAAATATTTCTACGATAATTAGAATTCCCTTTATTTGTTTCCAACTGGGAATCTCTGACCTTTTAAACCTAAACCTGCTTCGACAAAGGAAACGTTCTGTGTGTAAATAACCAGTTCAGGTGGTTTCATTTGATCGATTATAATAGTTTAAGTTTCAGATTGGTCAAATTAATATTTAAATTAAGTCTGTTATGTGTTTTCTGGCAGCTAATTTTTCATTTCACAAATGAAGTCCTGCACTGACTCTAAATGGAAGTGAAGTTCATCTTGCTTTCTCATAGCATTTCTGTTTCATTAAAATATGAATTTTAGATTGTTCACATCTACTTCAGTAGAAAGAAGTCACCTAATGAAGAATTGTATCAGAAATGAAGTACAGAAATGCCGGTGCTTTAAAGGACAAGCTGGTTGTCTTTACATTGTGAATGTGTGTGTCAGTGGGTAAAGTATTTTATTGCAGTGTGCAATATATACAGAAAGGCCAGTCCCACATTCTGTCCTCCATGTCTGTGCAATTCCTCGTTCATCATTCTTTACTTTCTGCTCACAGAGTATCTTGCTGTAAGGCCGTAACAACAGATTGGGACCTGACTTACTTCCGCAAAACCAGGGGGGCCAAAATCACACATGTCACTCCTCCTCTGTTCATTTGTATAAAGTTGTTGTATAATCACCACCTCTATCAGTATTGCATGCACTTTGTTCTGTAAGAGCAGAGTTTCTCAACGTTTTTGGGTCTTGACTCAAATTTAGCTCCCAACATTTACGTGTTTTGTATGGACCCAGCAATAAGAGAGTTGACGAATTGAAATCTTTTTGATTTGATTTGAAAAGCATGATGAATGGATTTCAATAGTGTGTTCCAAAAGCTAATCATATTTATTTTTTGAATACATATATTTTAAAATACCAATATATCAGTGTTAGAATTATATCAGATCTGCATTTGCTCACAAAGAAAAATGAAGTCCAGATTTAAAAGTTGAGAAACTCTGTCTTTGTTAAAGTGGTTTGACTTTATAAACTCATGTTATGCACTCTCTGGGCATCACTGCCCCACCACCAAAGCTCTGAATGATCTGTGTTTCAGCCCTCTGGTTGTAACATACGCACAATTTACATAATAACCAAATGGGGTTGTTCATTTCTGTTCCTGCACTGAACACTAGATTATAATGTAGGAGTGATTTACTTAGACTTTACCCAAGTCTCTGTTTCTGGAAACTTTACCATCTAATCAGTAAAACAGGACCTAATGGTTCATAATTTCTCTTCCTTAACGTAACTACTGTTTTTGGATTTGATACTAATATGTCAAAAAACAGATATCCTCCTCTGACACATTTTGTTCAGCTCTTCTGTGATTGACAGAAAAGGTCTATGGATGGTTACATGCTATGTGTGCCATAATAAAACCTTACAAATACCTGGTTGTGTTCTTTGGAGTTCACTAAAGTGTGCTCATTCTGCATTAGAAAACACAATAAACTCAGCTACAGCCTTTTACTTCTACATTTAGTTTACTGTTGAACTTGGAATTTTACATAAAATCACAAATCAATAAATAAAGTACACCTGAAAAAGTCAGTTGATAAATTGATTTGTTGATCGGCTGACGTTTTACTGCATGGTACAATGCAATATTTCTTTTTTACAGAAAATCCCCAAATAACAGTCACATATATAACATACGAGGGTTCAGAGTTGAATTAAACAACACATGAAGATAAAGGAATAACATATAATGACAATGAATTAATAAAAAGAGGAGGCCTCGCTTTTAACTTTAACTTTTCCACTCATTACCTCAACCTCGTTGCCATGGTAAATCAGCGGGGCGGCGCATGCGCAATCGTGTGGTAAACGCAGCATCACTTGCAGCGGCTGAATTGACTTGAGGACTAACAACCATGAGGTAAACCGAAGTTGTATTGAAGTTTATACTTTAATGATTTACTCTATACGGGTTTCATTTTATAAACCATGACGTTAAAGCGGTCAGCTGCACTGTTCGTGTATTCGTTGTTAGCTTGCGATGCTAGCTGAAGTTAGAAGCTAACAGGTGAACAGAGACTTAACGGTCTACTGAGCTACAGTCGTTGGAAGGTCACATGGGTCGTACTCGTGGTCCTCTGTGGTGAAGTCTTTGAGAAGTTATCAGCTCCGCAGAAACCTCATGGGACTCAGACTCTGAAGCCTCTGAGTGGTTTTCAAAGGCGGGTCTGTCCCCTGTCAGCCTCCACCACTGTTCATTACACTGACAGGATCACGGCTCTCAGGCTGCAGTCCAGAGGTAAGACTCTCTCCCATCACTGACACTCAACAGGATCCATGGACAAATGATGCATCACATTTCCAGGCTTTGTCTTTTGAAAATATTCCTTATGTATTGAATATTCTCATTCAGACAGCGTGACACTCTTTGTCACACTGATGTTATTGTCTGACCTGAAGTGCTGTTTCAGGGTAAAGGGTCAAAATGCAACTGAAGAGCTTAGCAAGTGAATGTATGTAAACAAACTGAGGGCTGTGTGTGTGTGTGTGTGTGTGTGTGTGTGTGTGAGTGTGAGTGTACTGTCATGCTAAAAACTGCAAGAGGAGGCTGCAGAGGTGGATTGTGGGTCACAGCAGGTAGTGGGAATGTGGCACAAAGAGCGTGCCTGTCTTTATTGCCGCCAACTCTCCCTCCATCACCGCCCCCCTCCCTCACCCTTGATCTCAGATCTGGTATTCAGCTGTCAAACAATAGAAGAGTCTCTGTCTCTCATGAACAATGCTCTCATCACAGCCAGCCAGATACCCCCATGACACACACATTTTCCATCTACCCCCTTCAACTCCTTAGTGATTTACTCCATCTCTGTGGTATTCTCCCTCTAAAGACTGTGGACTGCCTAACAAGTGGAGATAATCTGCCTCTGGTAAGTGTGTGTGTGTTTCAAAGAGAGAGAGAGAGAGAGATGATGGAGATGAGGAGAAGTAGAGCAAGGAGGCGGGACTGTCGGCAGAGCTATTCATGTGTGATCAGTAGTATTCCTGAGTGTTGAGGCTGCACAACATCAATAGAGACAGTGAGAGCAGGAAGGACAAGGAGAGGAGAGGTGGGATGCTTAAATAATAGCTCGTCAGTCATGAGAAGAAGCAGCGTGTTCCGGGGCTCTGATGTTGAGCCAGGCTTTTTGGACGAGAGGCAGAGGTGAACCTTGGGAAGTGTGAAAAAGGACACACGAAGCATCTGCGATAAACCTGAAACAAACACAGGCTGTTGCCATGGGGGGCTCCCTCAGCCAGAGCAGGAAGAGCTCCGTCAGCTCTCCTCGGAAAAAGAGCAGCATGTAAGATG